TACTCTTCACTTGATCGGATGAATGCGGCTACAACAATTCTCAACGAGCTCGACAACACCCAAAATACAGTAATCAAAATAGAAAATGCTGGAAGAACTCCAGTTATGGCAGCATCTTTGGAGTGAAACAGAGTTTAAACAGTGAATTAAATGACTCTGCATCAGGACATTTCCAAAGAAGCATCATTAAACTGAAAACATTAAGTCTGTTTCTCTCTCTACAGATGTTGCCAGACCTGCTGAATTTCTATAGCATTTTATATTTCAGATTTCTAGCAGTATTTTGCTTTTATCTAGTACAAAGTAGCATCACATCCACTACGGATGCTCAATGGCAGCCATGTGCATGGTGTATAATATGCACTGCAGCAGGAAATTGGAACTTACACCAGCTTCAACTAGCACGCTAGGTAATACACTATCCTCACTTGAAGATCCTTCATTTTGCTGGTTCAAAATCCTGAAACTATCTTCTTAGCAGCACCTGAGCAAGATGGACTGCAATGGTTTAAGTGCAATTAAGGATGAACAAACAATGTTGGCCTTGCTAGCAATGTCATTACCCCATAAAAACGTATTTAAAAATCTGTTTCTCCAGTGAAAGCCTATTAGCATGATCAAATTGCACAGCTTACTTTGTCTCATCACAAAATTAATAATAGCACAACTTAGTCAACATGAAGGTTAATTTCCAGACCTATAATTCAAAAGTTGAAAAGTTATGTTAAATTTGTATCAAATCTTGATTAGACCGCACTTGTTGGACTGCAAGCAATTCTAGTTGCCAATATTATGAAAAGGATAAAACTGTGGGATACAAAAAAAACTACAAAAGTGATACCAGAACGGCAAGGTAATAACTATTAGTAAGGGATGAACGGACCTAATCCTTTTGGCTGAAAACAGAAGTCTGAAAGTGATTTAATAGAAGTCTTTAAAATCATGAAAGATTTTGATAGAGTAGATAGAGTTTCCCCTTGTGGGAACAAAACTACAGACCATCAGTAGGTGACAGCCACCAAGAAATCTAATAGCAAATTTAGAAGAAAAGTCTCTATCCCGAGGGTAGTGAGAACATGCCAAGGCAGGGAGCAATTAAGGCAGATAGTGTAGTTGTATTTAGGAGGAAGCCAAGTTAGCATATATGAGGGAGAAAGGCATTGTCAGTTGTGCTGATAGAGTTGATGAGGAAATGTGCGAGGAGACCAGGACTAGAATAAAACTTCACATAATTTTAAAGGGGGTGCAGGATAGGTCAGACCACGTGGTGTATGAACATAAACCTTTGAATGCGGCAGGAAAAGCGATGTTAAAAAATAAGAAAGGGAGGGGTAGGCCATTCAGCACATCAAACCAGCTCAGTAAAGCCATCAACTTCTTGACATTTCAAAAATTTATCCACCTCTTCTTCATAGCAGAGAAGCTGACAGGGGACCTGATCGTGGCATACAAGATTATGAGAAGCATAATCAGGGTGGATCAGAAGTAGCTGTTCCCCTTAGGTAAAGGATCAATAACAAGGAGCCACAATTTTAAGGGAAAGGGCAAGAGGCAGATTTCAGGAAAATGTTTTTCTCCCAGAGAGTGGTAGGGGTCTGGTACGCACTGCCTGGGATAGTTATTGAGGGAGGAAACTTCACAACCTTAAACAAAATACTTGGATGAGCACTTGATATGTTGTAACATTCAAGGGTTATGGCCTAAGTGGTGGAAAATGGGACTCTTGTAGATTTAGAGTAGTTTAGTCTGTGCAGACTCAAATGAGCCAAGAACCCTCCTCTGCACTGTATGATTCTATGATTCTAAATGCTTTTAGTGATCTAGCTTCCACAACTCCCCAGGGTAGAGAATTCCAGACAGTCACTCCCTTCTGGGAGAAGGGATCCCTTTGCACCTCAGTTTTAAATGAGTGCCCCCTTATTGTGTAACTTTGCTTCTTAGTTCAAGATTCCCCCACTAGGAAACAAATGGGATGCGTCCATTTATAAATGCACAACACAAAAGCAACGAAGCTTTGTTAACATTTGCCAAAACATATTTTAGCCTTAGATGGAATAATACTGCATTCAATTCTGAGTGTTGCACTTCGGGAATGACATCAGAGCCTCGAGGAAATTGTAGAAAAGATTTACCAGTATTACACCAAAGATGAAGACTTCAGGTATATGGAGAGTCTGAAGAAGTTAGCATGCCCACTTTACAGGAGAGGAGAAGAGATTTAAACAGTTCCAGAGAAACTGTTTTTGACAACAGGTGGGTTGATAATCTGTAGATCAGATTTATGATGATAGATCAATAATAAAATTTAAAGGAAAATTAGATACACGCTGGAAGGAGGAATGCAACTTACTGAAGATCTCTATTAAACAGCCAAGACAGGAATGGTGCCCTTCTGATTGTAACATTCTATATTTCTGTGATTCAACCATTGAGTATATAGCCTATGAACAGCAGAAGATAAAAACAAACAAGATGCTGCAAAGTATTAAGGCAGCAGATGGGAATTACTTTTTATTGATTGACCGTGCATTTATTGATTTTGCTTCCTGTAGACATCTAGGTGGCTATGCAATGGTTAGGTGCCATTTGGTTATGACGGTCTGGCTATCAATTTGTGGGGACAGCTTAGGGACCACAAGTTGTGTTTATGCAAGTTAATCCAATCAGTAAATGTAAAATTGTCAATGAAAACAGGCAAGCAGACTGCCTAAAATGCAAATATTTCTAACTGCACTATTTGGACAATTTCAACAGTGGTATTCTGGGTTAGTTTTATTTATACAACTGAAAACAGGTTTATCAACAGAAAACAAAAATCAGCATTTTCAATCAAGTGTTCAATTCTCCACCTTTAAGTACCCAATTTAAAATAATGGGAACAACTTTAAGAACTAAAAATAAGAACTACACTCAATCAGCTGTTAATTTAATTGCTGCTTGATTTGATAAGCTTGTAAACACCCACACTACTGTCTACGCAGCCAAGGAATGGAGGACAATTTGAAGATTCTTCTCTTACTCGTGCAATCTGAGAATTCTCACGATGTCGGCCTCCAGATGTGGCCAAGTGTGTGAACTGAATCTTAAAATCATTGGAAAATAAAACATTGAAAACACGAAGCAGCAGTTTTGGGGCAACCACACATTTAAATTCCCCAGGGTTATATGCTGATTTGAACACTATTGTTCAGTTTATACCAAAATTTATAGTGGACGCTCTATCCCGGACTGGTGTTATTCAAACATAAAAACAGTGCACTAGTAGCAAAGCTAACCAAAATTTTAAAAAAAAAGTTCATGTTTCAGATAACCTAGTCTCAACAATAAAAAGATCTTGAGTGCAGTTTGTAATTCTGATGGACATCGTGCCTATTTCAAAAGTGACTCACCAAACCCGCATATCACGAGTATTTCGACCAAGAGGACATAATAGAAGAGTGTTATTTAATTGCTTTGAAAATTATTTAGAAATATTTAACAAATGGTAACTTGGCAAAGTTTGATCGATACAGTGAAAAAGGAGTTTATCACAAAAAATAAATCTGTTAATTCATCCCTTGTGAATAACCAATTCTTAAATGACTCAAAACTACTGATTACTTAAAAAAGATGATAGTGAGTTCCTTAGAAATTTTTTAAAAAATTCAAAACCTCACGTTTTTGTGGCCAAAGGTTTCAGCATAATTATTGCAGCTTCTTGAAGGCCTGGAAATGACAGTAATTAGTAGAAACCTCCAATAGTAAATAATTCATGTTGGTTATTTGGTTGGCAGAGTGTATTTCAAGCACAATTATTTATGGCAAGACTGGAAATTCACATTGCAGTGGCATAATTTGCTCTTAAATTTCCACAATCATTGAAACAAGTTACAGCAATATGGCAGAGAAATGCATTGAAAAAACAAAGCATAAGCAACAGAAGTTGTGGGGGTGTCAGAGGCCTGGAGTTTCTGTTCAATTGCACTATTTCCTCTCTACAATAAACAAGGTAAACTAGAGATGGATGTGTGCCTTAATTAAGTTTGACATCTACCTGTGTTTATGGGCATTGATATTATTTTGTTCACGCTGTAAGTGCGATTTTAAATCCACTAACATTAACTGGAAGAACCACCCATCTATGACATTGCAAAATACAAAAGTTATTTATCTTGCAAATCCTAAAGTTGTGACACTTGTATACTGTGGTTTGTACGATCATATCTATCCTTCAAGATAATATTTTGGTTACCACACTCAGCACTTAACATTTTGAATTGAAAGTTGTCAATGCTTAAAAGTTGCATATCTTTCATATTCAAATGACTTCAACCAAAGTATAATAAATAATAGTCAAACAAATGAGGGCAGACAAAAATATCAGATAATTAGGCTTAAATTATTCTGCTAGACTGAAATTGGACAGTTACTTTTACATGGTAAATTAATCAAATGACTTAAGTAATTCTATAATCGACATTAGTCATTTTAATTCACATGACTAAATAATTCTTTCCCCATTGAAAATGCCAGAGAATAGAGTAAAACAACCACTCCCTTGAAATAGAAAGATGCTTCTCAATTTTTGTTTTCCAATAGATCTTTCTGAATTGCTGCATATCTCCTCCAATTGGGGTCTGCAAGCAGGAGTGATGTGCTAGTATGCTTAATTTTAGCATGCCTTTAATTTAAATACTCTTCCATCATTATCAACAACCTGAAGAAAAACGTCTCAGTTCAGCACTTCATTTTAAAACACCGAGAAGCCTCACATTTATTCAGTACCTTACTAAACCTTTCGACGACTTAGAGCTTTAAAGGCAATTATGAACTACTGAAGTCCCCTGTTTGGGGGGTCAGAAATACGGGGTTGTTCAGGGAGTATCTTCACTCCAAGGACTGCAGTGGTTCAAGGCAGCAGACAACTATCTTCTCAAGGGCAATTATGAATGGATAATAAATGCTGGCATAATCAAGTCGGTGACGCCACATCCCCAAAGTGAAAAAAAGCAGCAACTTACATTGGCTTGTAATCCAGGGAAAAAAGACCTTTGCCTCTCAGTTGACTTTCATATTCCTGGATGTTAAGAAATTGTTCGTAGGTATCCTGTAATAATTTAATGAACAGACACTTGAATTTTTTTTTTTTTTTAAGGCAAATTCATGTCAAGCATTATAACAATCCGATAGCAAGCTTTTATAGTACGCAACATATATATATATGTAATGATTCCTAGAAATTAAATCAACATTCTTGATAAAGCAGCAATGTAGAACCCAAGTGCTGAAGGACCAAAAGAATATTTCCGCTACTATTGCATTCAAGATTCATTGAAAGCTGCCTTTTGGGTGCACTTATGTATGTGACTAGTCACGTATACGCAGTTATGCTCAAAAATTCGTCAAGTCCAAGGATACAAATACAAACACAGGTAGCAGGATTACACGATTACTGAATTTCACTACTTGCTATACAAGACTTAGCCGCACGTTGTGGCAATAGAGCTCATTCAATACCTGTTATTGTCAATTTGATTTGACATTTAATGCTGTTTTTAAAGTGAAGTTACACAATAACAATGGGGGCTGGTTAGCTCAGTTAGCTGGACAGTTCGTTTGCAATGCAGAGTGATACTAACTACAAGGGCTGAATTCCCACACTAGCTGAGGTTACTACGAAGGACTTTCCTTCTCAACCTTTCCCTTTGCCTGAGGCATGAAGAATATAAGGTTAAACCCCCACCACTCATCTCTCCGATGATAGGGCAGTCCTATATTCTGGTAGGACTATGGCAACTTTACTTTTACACAATAATGTCCAATAAAGCTATAAGTGATGAATTGTGCCAAAAGTTCTGATTTACCAATAAACTTCCTAATAATCAAAGGAACAAGAATGGTAACTACAATATTCAAGAATTTCTAATCTTATTCATAGTGGCAGTGACCTCTGCTGAAGCAAAGTGGGGAAGAAAAAGGAAAGTGCTGGCCAAACTCAACAGGTTTGTCAGTATCCATGAAGAGACAAAGTTAATATTGAGTGCAATTACACTTCTTTGAAAAAAAAACTCAAGATCGGGTGAGGACAAGTTCAATCAGGTGTGGGACAGCCTTCTGTCACACAAATAGGAATACCAACTAAGTACAGTACTGCAATCTAATAATGGAAAGGAAAAAAACGACAAGAAGCAGGAACTGCAAATACTGCATCTTTGTATTTTTGTTTTTTTTTCAAATTGTGCACTAAATTGAGAAAGAACTGTTTTAAAACCAGGAATTGCAGTGATTGCTGCATGGCTTGAAAGCATGTAACTCGATACTCATTGTGAAGAGTGTTTACGTGGCTACGGGTAAGAGCAGTGGTTACAGACAAACAGAAGCTGAAGGGTTGTGTATAAATGGAGCTTTGGTTGTCAACAGTAGCAGATTATTAACAGGCTACTAACCAACAAACAAATCTTCTGCCTGCCAAAATTGAGAGATTGTATCTTGTTGGCAGCTTAACATGAGAACCAGAGAAGCCTTCAGACCAGTTCTGTGGAAGGGTCACCAGACCCGAAACGTTAACTCTGATTTCTCTTCAGAAGTGCTGCCAGACCTGCAGAGCTTTTCCAGCAACTTCTGTTTTTGTTTCAGACTACTATCTTAAGTTAGGAACGCTCACTTTCTGTTCTCTGCAGTAAGTCACTTTAAATCGAAAGAAAATCAATGTATCTTCCCTTCAACAGTTACATTAAGCTGTGACTTAGAGCTTTAGAGTTGTACAGCATGGAAATAGACCTTCTGGCCCGACTCATGCATGCCGACCTGGTTTGCTAAACTAGCCCCATTAACCCGCTTTTGACCCATAATCCTCTATACCTTTCCTATTGATGCACCTGTCCAAATGTTCTAATTGTATTTACTGTATTCCATAAATGCACCAACCTATGCGTGAAAAAGTTGTTTCTCATGTCCTTTTTACAACTTTGCCCTCTCACCTTAAACCTATGCCCTCTGGTTTTGGACTCCCCTACCCTGGCAAAGACCTTGGCTATTCACCTTATCTATGCCCGTCATGACCTTATAAACCTCTAAGGTCACCCCACAGCCATTAATTAATAAGCCAGAAACTTTTACATGAAACAGCTACTCAGGGTATCTTGCAAACTAGTGGACTAAGTCAAAAGTCACACGACACCAGGTTATGGTCCAACAGGTTTATTTGAAATCACAAGCCTTCAGAGCACTGCTTTTTCATCACCTGACTATAATATGGTGTCACTGACTTCGGACTTTGACCACCCAGTCCAACAGCGTCAACTCCACATCATGGAAACTAGTGGATACATCCAGAGGTCAACTGAGAAGCAGTGTTAAGTCAAAAATTGTAAGAATCATCTCAGGAACCCTTGTAAACATGAACAACTGAATTGCTTTTCCAGTTTTTCTCTTTGTCAATAGCCCATCATTTCTGCATAATCCCACCCCTCCCACTGCCCCGCCTAGCCCTCTGTGCGCATATGTAACGGAGATTCGATAAGGAGATTAGTGCTCTAATTAGTAGAGGCATCTGCAGGAGGTTGTTTACCCATAGCTAGAGGCTAATTATGTGTAATATATCGTGTTTTTTTTAATAAAAGGTATAGAAACCTGGTCCATGCTTACTGTCAACTTTGGTCTCAAAGCCAGGTAAATTGGGGAATTCTACCTCCTTTTTAAAATCTTTACCTTTGTGATGACGCTGGGAATACCTGGATTTCCAGCAATTATCTCAGTGAGTTGTGACAAAGTTACTACAAAGAAATGTTTGTACTTAAAATAAGTAATATACTAATATACAGTTATTTACCACAAACACTAATTATTCATTGTTCCACAAAAATATTTTCCAAAAAGGAAAGTCCATTTTAGCAAAGAATGTTCAATACATTTTTAAAACAGATGAAGAACTGTATAAACTACATTCAGTTGTATTGTTCAACTAAAGCATTAATTGTATTCACTTCATTAAATTTTTTTTACCTTCAGATCAATGAAGGATGTACAATGAGGAACTGAAATAAATGCCATATTCCAATGCACTCTATTCTGTTCAACCAATAAAAGGGCAGAGAAAGCACTTTCAGAAGCTAATTTAACAATTCAATTTAACATTCTTGAAAAGAGACTCTTTAATACTCCAACAATAACAAATCTTTAACTCTGTCGCACAAGACTGACTGGCAAGTATTTAATGTATGGAAGGCTGTCTGGAAAGGAGTTCAAGTTTGAACTATTGAAAATAGCTTAAACTTTTTGGCCCACATAACAATTATGACATGAATATCTTCAATGGGCTACACTTTTAACCCATAGTGAAATTCATGCATCTATTATGACTGTTGCCTATAGGGATAAAATGTTACACATGAAGTAATTTCTAGCTAATCATGAGTTGCATCAGAGCATAGGGAGCAGCACATTCTAAACTACTGTGTATCTGTCCCTAGAATTGGCCGGGTTGATTAAAAATTTTGCCAGAAATCTGTTCGAAAGGGAAAAGCTGATCAGGATTGAAAGGTCCACTAGGAATAACAATGGCAATAATCCAGCAATTACTTTGTGAACTGTAATAGTTCTGTGATATCATGATGTTGCTCCAATCATAGGTAGTAGGAAATGGAACAATGATGCTATTCACAATTAGTCAGAACAAAATGAAACAGTTGAACAATTCCATGCAAAATTCAAACACAGGAACTTAATTCAAGATTTAAACTTTTTGATGTATTAATTTAATTTTACAAACAGCATGAATGCCAAATGCACAATTTATAGCATTTAAACCAGTAACCAAAATAAATATGCACTCATTATATGCAGTATTTAAAAGAAAATATCTTGTTTATATCAGGCAAAATAATAAAAACTCCAAAGTAAAATTACATAACCCAGTTAGGGGTCAAAGCAAAAATGTGGATGAGTATTTTTTTCTGTGAAGTGGCCATCTCTACTATTGTTGCAATTAAAAACCAAAATCATCACCATCCTATACATTTCCATAACCACTACGGAATAAGTTAACTAACTAACGAGAGTCAGAAGACAAAAAACAATGCAGATTAGCAGAAATGAGCTGGTAATGAAATTTTCCCAAATTACACATCATTTTTTGGTCCTGGATTGAAATTATGTTCAGGTGTTGTTTCCTACAGAGCAATTCCTAAAAGGCTATGCAGTTGACTTCAACAGAGATGCTCCAAGGTAAGTCTGATAACAAACAAAAGAAAAAATCAGGATATCACCGAGATGTAGACAATATCTGAACTTACAAAAATACTATCAAGTAACAGTCTAGAAACTATTTGATTTAAAAGTTGAAGGCTCCACTCTCAAAAAATAGTCTGCCTTTATGCAGTGCGATTAAAAGTAGCAAAACAACAACCATTGCTTGACGAGTATCAGACACAAATTGATATTGAACTGAAGTTGATGGTTGTACGATAGATTTTCAAAGAGTATTTTGGAATAGGAAGACTAAAAAGACAAATGGCAAGGAAAAACTAGTGACTTAAGCTTAAGAAATGTCTGTCAATTGTGTGGCAAAGGATTGAAAGATGCACAAGAAGTCACAGTTGGAGGAAATAGCACGAAGAGGAAAGAATAATTTCTCAATACTAATGTCATTTCATTTTTAAAAAAAATTCACTTGTGGAACATGGACATCGCTGACTGGCCAGTATATTATTGCCAGTTCGTAGTTGGCCTTGAAAAGTGGTGAACCGCTGCAGTCCACCTGCTGTAGGGGTGACCCACAATGCCCTTAGGGAGGGAATTCTAGGAATTTGACCCAGTGATGGCGAAGGAACACTACTGATTGAGCTAGTGAAGGATAGTGAATATTTCCATGTCAGGTTGGTGAATGGCTTGGAGAGGAACTTGCAGGCAGTGCAGTACTCATTTATTAGTTACACTTGTCCATCTAGACGGAAGTGGTTGTGGGATCGAAGGGTGCTGTCTATGGAATTTTTGTGAATTTCTGCAGTGCCTCTTGTAGCTAGTACACACTGCCGCTACTGAGCGTCAGTGGTGGAGGGAGTGGATGCGGTGGGAATCAAGTTGGCTGCTTTGTCTGCGATGGTGTCA